TAGGGTTTTCCTGGTATTACGACCAAGGAAAAAACCACAGAAACTGCCGCTAGAAAACTGCTAGGGTTTCCACAGAATCTGCCGCCAGAAAACTGCTAGGGTTTCCGCCAGTAACCTACTAGGGTTTCCCTATCTTCCACATCCAAAACTTTTAAAGAAGGAAACCTTGCTCAAAACAGGAGGGATCGTAGGTCTTTTACAGCCCAGAAAACCTGCTCTGATACCATGTAATGATGTGGAGAGTGGGAGAGAGAGAGAGAGAGAAAAAGAAGAAAAAGAGAGGTACGATTGAGAGAAAAAGCATACTACTGGCTGCCACTAGTCTTCTATTTATATTAACTTAATAAAGGAATGGAAATTACAAGTATGCCCCTGGTGGCACACCCTAGAACAAAAAATAATTAGAAAAAAAGACAAGTAACTAACTGACAGTATCCTAAGAAGTCAGCCTACTAACAGCAGCTATAAAGTAACAATTAAATAAGCCTTACAACAATTTTTTTTGCAAAACCATTTTTCTGACCAGATTTTGGTTTCTCCAACGTGAAAAGTACAAAAAGCCCATTAGAAGCACTTCTAAAGTCCTAAGTAAAGATCAAGTGGGATTTGCACTCATGACCAACTCCACATACCACATTCCACATTCTGTTCTCCATAAGTCCATATTTGGATTCTGTTGGTGTTGGTGATTCTGCTTCTCTAGTTCACGGATGAAAAGGAACTTTTAGATTTAAAAGACTTTCCTCCCATAACTTATTAATGAAAGAAGGCAAGAGGATAGCATGTGGCAGTTTATTAATGAAAGAAGGTAGTTCAAATGGCTACTCCAGGTAATGGAAGTCAGATTAAAATGGGCCAAAAGAAGTGCAAATTCCTTTGCAGATGTATTGGTCCAGCAGGGAGCGGTAAGAGCTCAAATGTTCTGGGCTACCTTGTAATTTTTTCTGTTTTATTTTGGGAGAGAGTTAAGAGAGTTTACCTCTTCCTGCTCCTTTAACTATTTCACTTTCTTCTCATTAATATATTGATTTCTGTTTTCGATGAAAAAAAACATGCAAGTGTGATAGAGAATAGACGAGGTTCAAAGGAAATATGGATCTCTTTTATTGGCATTGGTGCATTCTCTTAGTTGCTATGCCTACTTCTCCTGCCACTTTTTTTTTTTTTTTTGATGTTTTTAATTATCTTGGGAGTTGGGGTGGTAGGTTATAAATACTACCGTTTTTTCCAGGAAAATTTCTATTGGGGAATCTTCCTACTTAGACATTTGTGGTTTGAAAGGCAGTGTAGGACAAGGATGAGACTTATTCAAGTTTTTTTTTTTAGAGAGAGATGTATAAAATGTATTAACTGAGAAACATGTATACAAGTATGGTCCTCTATACAGTAGTATTTTATACAAAAAAACTCCTTTAAGGACCCCCAAAAAAATTTACATTCAAAACAGAGGACGAGAAATCATCAGGACTGAAGCATGAAAGAATTGGCATCCAAGTTCTCAACATGCCAACCGCCGAGTTGATAACCGCCTCCTCTGTACTCGATTTCTGTTAAAAAATTCTACTATTCCTTTCAGACCAAATTGCCCACAGCACAGCTAAAGGAACCACCTCCCAGCAAGCTTTCCCTCTCTTGGACATTCCTTAAATCCTCCACCCAGCTAACCGGATCTTCACAGAGATTGGCAAGCACCCAATTGCTGGAACAGAATTTCTGAAATGGTTCCAGACTGTATAAGAAAAGCTACAATGAAGGAAGAGATGATCCACTGTTTCCCTATGGGCTTGACAAAGGGAACAATTCAAGTTTGCTAGGTTAGCTCCTTTTCTGACCAGCAGATCCTTGGTTAAGCATTCCCAGGCCACAACCGAAGCAAAAAATTTCACCTTTGAGGGAGCTGCATTTCCCCAAATTTCTTTATAAGGAAATAAATGCATTATCCTCCTCATTCACCAAAGTATAACAAAAAGAACTGATTTGAGAACTCCCCTGATTTGCTCCATCTCCACTGCCTTGGGTCTTGATCATGCACCTTGACTTGTTGACTGTTCGAAAGAGATATCAGCTCTGCAACAGACTGAACCTCCCAATCAAAAAAATTCCTTCTAAAAGCCAGATTCCAAGCACTGGAAGATTCATCAGCGTGATAGCACTCAGCCACTGTAATTTCTTTGTTACCAGATAAAACAAACAAATCAGGGAATTTGTCCTTCAACGCCAGCTCATCACACCACGAGTCAAGCCAGATCTTATTCTCGTTCCATTGCCTAAGAGAAGCTTTATCCCTTTTGAGAAGGCTGGGAATGCTTTACAGATTCCCCTCCACAGTGCACTTCCAAAGGGCATGATGGAATCCCTTGCATCCCAGCCATTATCATTCAAGCCACATTATCTCTGCTATCACCTCCCTCCATAACTCATTAGGATTTGAGCCAAATCTCCAGATCATCTACCTAGAAGAGCCTAGTTGAACCTTTTAACTAATTCCAAGCCCTTCATTTTCCATTGGCCTGCATATTAGATCCCAGCTCACCATATGAGACTTATTCAAGTATTTTGATAAGTCTTCTTCTGGTCAATGAAAATGGTGAGTTTTCTAAATGAATATGATCTGAATAAACTCTGTTTGGTGTCTTTCGGACTTATGGGGGTTCAAAGTTTTGGAGGGGGACTTGTATGGATGTTTTTGTACATTGTACCTTGATGTATCCCATGGCCATATATCCATCAATTTTGAAAAGTGAGACAAATTTATTAGAAAGCAAAGCCAGGGATATCTATAAATCTGGGACAAAATCCCAGAGTTACTTCATGTTACACCATGACATGGAACTCAAGTTTCACAATATAAGAGACTGAAAAGTTGCGGTTATGCAAATGATATACATCATTGTAATTAAGAAATTACCATCAAGACATAAAACATGGGCTAGTGCCTAGATCTATTGCATGGCTGACTATGGATTTAAGGTGCATCGGCTTCTTGTTAAGATGGGATGGAAGAGCAAAATAAATATCATCTAAATGAACTAGATAGTATTCTGGGTTGCAGATTTGGTTAATGAAGTCCTAGGTTTCTGTTTGGAAATTCTCAAGGCTATACTCCTGGATGGTGATGATCCCATTCATTTCCTTTTGCAAATCCAATATCTGCATAATGAAGCTTTGCGAAGTTACCTTACATGCTAACTTATTGCTACGAGAAGACAAACATGTTCCTTCCCCATGTTGAAATGGTAGACAAACTTTGTGTTAAGAAAGCAATCAAGAATCCATGACACTGTAGCTGCTAATCTTATGGTATGTAGAATATGCTATCTGTATTTTGTTTCTTTTTTATTTTTTTGATTCAAGTGTGCAATGTGCAATGTATACTGTGGTTATATGCCATTCTTTGTTGTTTCCTTCTCACCAGTAATGGAAATTCATATGCCATTTATTAAAAAAGTAAATAACACTCCCCACATTCTATAACCAGTATCTTCATTTGCTGACCTTGGGATCCACCTGAACAAACAGTTCAAGTTGGAATCCAGGTACCTCACTTCACAAATGAGATGTCTTAGGGGCCAAGGGCCTTCCAGCCTTTGATAGAAACAAGACAATAAACATTGTTTCTTTGGGGGGGGGTGTTGGAATTCCTTTTTTTATTTTTATGATAAATGATGAAATTTTGTTAAGACTGAAAAAACATTACATCAAAATATTACAAGACAATCATCCCAACAGAGGTGCGGTCATGTCTCTAACCATTGGACAATTATTGTCATGACTCTAACCAGCCATTTGAATCTTTTCATAGATTCCCTGTACTTCCAAATTACTGTTTCCAGTTCCTTCAGCCACCCTACTATCAATTTAGAGTCACCTTCAATTAACAGTCTGTCATAATTTAGATCTCTAGCAATCTGTACTCCTTGCAAGACTGCTTGGAACCCAGCAAAACTGAATCCCCTATTCCAACAAGACCTGAGAATACAGCAGCAATATGCCCTTCGTTATTTCTGAACACTTCTCCTATGCCAGCCAGACTTGGGTTCCCTAGACTGCTACAATCAAAATTCAGTTTGATAAAAGCTGATAAAAAAAAAACCAGTTTGATAAAACCTTCTTCTGGGGGTTTCCAAGCTACAACCTGTTTGTCACTTACAGTAGAACTCCACATCATCAAAGGAGAAGTCTGGGTTCCCTAGACTTTGTTTTTGCTTTCAATTTCTGTTTATCAATTGAAAAAAAAATCAATCAACATTTGATAATCACCTTGGATCAATAGTACTCTTCAACCTGAGGAATAGGCTGGTCTGAAACCCTGTATAAGACTACAAGTGCAAGAAGTTTAGCCCTCAAAGGTGTTCCTTCTACTGGGATACAATAGCTGAGTCATTATGTTTATTATTAAGAGGAATTCCTTCCCCACTCCATTGCCTCACCAAAAAAAAAAAAAAAGAAAAAGAAAGAAAGAAAGAAAGAAAGAAAGGAAAAACTAGTTCTTTAGGGTAGAGAATATAGTGCTATTTCAAGGGCTCAAATTATGTATTGTTTGGGCAATAAAGGTGAGGAAGGATTCTTTGGTTGCCATTACCTTATCATGAGATGATTCTGACATTCCTTGGATTTTGAGAAACCTCCGGTAGAGTGAGTGGTATTGGGGAATTCCCAATTCCCATCTCTGAGTAGTTATTTTTTTATTGGTTCCTTTCTGGTTTTGAGTTGTTGCTGACAGGAGAGAGCAAGAGAGAAGACATCAATTTCTGTTTTAGGGAGAATGAATTCATTGTATTCACAATAGTGATTGGAAAAAGCTTGTTCAGTGATTCTATCATGATATTTTCAACTAGGTGATTGTCATGTATATAGTCAGGATGACATCTGATCATGTTCTGCCATTGAAGCTAAGCATGGTGGTGGATTTTTGCTATTCCATCCTTTTGGCTTTTGCTGCAATATCTGAACATTGTTTGACTTGGTCTCGTTAATTGGCATGTATTGTTTTCCTCCAGGTGATCAAGGGATACAGTGTCATGATGATTGAAATTCTTGAGCCAGTTAACAAAACACAGTAGTTGTTAGTAATGGTATTGGTGCCTCAGCAAGAACAGAAGGACCTATCTCATATTTTGGTTCCTGATGGTTTAGGTCAAGGTTTAAAGTATTGATACTTATCGTCTCTCTCTTGCGTTCTCACGTGCTCACGTGCTCACTTGCTTATTTTCTGTTTCTTCAATGGCGGAAGCTCCACAAGGCCTTCGAATTCTTCTACACCAACATCAGAAAGAGCGAGCACCTGTTCACATTTCCAGTCATGCTGAGAGGGATCGAGTTCTTGAAATATTCAGAAGTGCAATACTTCAACCTGGACCACCTGCAAATTTTGCTCTCCAAACAGTGCAAGATGCTATAAAACCTCAGAGGCAAACAGTTTTAGTCCAAGAAGAGAATCAATCATTGGAAAATGCTATCCGGACTTTACTTCAAGAACTGGTGTCTTCTGCAGTTCAGTCAGGGGAACGAATAATGCAGTATGGGCAATCAATGGATATGGAGGAGACACAGGGTCAGATACCAAGGCTTCTTGACGTTGTGCTGTATCTTTGTGAGAGAGGCCATGTTGAAGGTGGTATGATATTCCAGCTGTTAGAAGATCTGACAGAAATGTCAACAATGAGAGATTGCAAAGAAGTATTTGGTTATATAGAAAGTAAACAAGACATCTTGGGGAAGCAAGAGCTATTCGGTCGGGGGAAGCTTGTGATGCTGAGGACATGCAATCAGCTTCTTCGTCGTCTTTCAAAGGCAAACGATGTGGTGTTTTGTGGACGAATTCTTATGTTTTTGGCTCATTTCTTCCCATTATCAGAACGTTCAGCTGTCAATATAAAGGGAGTTTTTAATACCTCAAATGAAACCAAATATGAAAAGGATGCTCCTGATGGCACTTCTATTGATTTCAATTTTTACAAGACCTTTTGGAGTTTACAGGAGCATTTTTGTAACCCTGCTGCCACAACTCTAGCTCCTACCAAGTGGCAGAAATTTGTGTCCAACTTAATGGTTGTATTGGATACATTTGAGGGTCAGCCTTTGAGTGATGATGATGGAAACACAAACAATCTTGAAGAACAAGAATCATCAAATTTCAGCATAAAGTATCTTACAAGCAGTAAATTGATGGGTTTAGAGTTGAAAGATCCAAGTTTCCGACGCCACATTCTCCTTCAATGCCTTATATTGTTTGACTACTTAAAGGCCCCTGGGAAAAATGATAAGGATGTACCATCTGAAAGCATGAAAGAGGAGATCAAGTCTTGTGAAGAGCGTGTTAAGAAGCTTCTTGAATTGATTCCTCCTAAAGGGAAGGAGTTTCTATACTGCATTGAGCATATATTAGAACGAGAAAAGAATTGGTTTTGGTGGAAACGTGATGGTTGCCCCCCATTTGAAAAGCAACCAGCAGAAAAAAAAATGGGCCAAGATGGATTGAGAAAACGTAGGCCACGGTGGAGGTTGGGAAATAAAGAACTCCATCACTTGTGGAAGTGGGCAGAAACGAACCCAGATGCTCTGACTGATTCTCAACGTGTTCGGATCCCGCCAGTTATGGAATATTGGAAACATTTGGCTGAAGATATGGATATATCTGCTGGTATTGAAGCTGAATATCACCACAAGAACAACCGGGTCTATTGCTGGAAAGGCCTCCGATTTTCTGCTCGACAAGACCTTGAAGGATTTTCCCGATTTACTGAATATGGCATTGAAGGGGTTGTGCCCCCAGAACTTCTTCCACCAGAAGTTCGCTCCAAGTATCACACCAAACCTAATGAAAGGTCTAAACGTGCTAAAAAGGAAGAAGAGATGAAAGGTGCTGCTCAACAAGTGGAAGATAATCAGATCACAACCCCTGCAACTGATATCGATGGTGGAGTTGGAACTGAATTTGAGGATGCAGCAGCACCAATGGAAACTGATGCGACTGTTATCCCTAACAGCGGAGCAGCAACACCAGATGAGAATCAGAAGCAGAGCCCTGACACAGATGTAGTTCCGGAGGCAGGACATTTGGAAGTAGAAGTGGAAGCAGAGGCTGAGACAGGGATAGTAGATGGAGAGACAGATGCAGAGGCTGATTGACTTGTTTTTTCTTATTCCTCTGTTCCTTCTATTTTGGTTTTTCCTTATTCTGATGATTGACTTGTTTTACTTTCATTCTGATGATTGACATGTTTGTATTTTCATCAACCATCTTGTTGTTCCTTTTCTTTGCAAATATGTAAAGTTAAAGGAGTTTTGATACGTTATTTGTCTTGGCTGTGTTAAGCTGAAATTTCTTTTCTAGAGCTTTAGTTGCTATTTGGCTTTTCCCTATGGTTTTTGTTATGGGCCCATGGAAATAGGATCTTGTCACGGGTCAGTCCACGAGGAAAACCTCTTGTTTTCCCTTATTCTTTCTTGCTCTTGATGAACCTATCTTGGCACCCTAATGGTGATTTGTCCAAGAGATCACCTAACTCTCCTTGTTCTCTTTCTTGACTGAAAATTTCGATATCTTTATTGAATAATATCAGCTCCTTAAATAGGAGATTACAAGAGGTAGAATCATACTTTTAGGAGGATTCCTTGCTAATCTATTACTCTATCCTGTTAAACTGATAAGATAAGACTGAACTGATAAGATAAGATAAGACTTCCTTAATCTATCCTATTGAACTGATAAGATAAGATAAGAACTGTAATTAAATAAGATAAGACTCCCTACTAATCCATACTACTGAACTGATAAGATAAGAACATTGAATAGATAAGACTCTTACTAATCCTTACTACTGAAAGCAGATAAGGCAAGAATACTAAATAGATAAGATAGGATGAGAACACTAAATTGCTGCTGCTGAGAACACTAAATTACTGCTGCTGCTGCACTAAATTACTGCGTTGCTGCCGGCGTCCACATCAGTTTTTCTATCCTGTCCACCCTTGTTGGAATGAGTTTGGGCTCTTTTCTGAGTTGAAAGTTAGTGTTAGTAATCTAAAGTCTAACATGTGGGGTGTCCATTGTGAAACCTATATCATGGTTTAGTTTAGTGCACTCTCTCAGTTGCTACGGCTACTGCTCCTGCCTTCTTTTCTGATGCTTTTAATTATTTTGGAGAGTTGGGGTGGTAGGCTATAAATACTACTTTTTTTCCTAGGAAAATCTCTATTGGGGATCTTCCTACTTGGACATTTGTAGTTTGAAAGGCAGTGTAGGACGAGACTTGTTTAGGTTTGAAAGTACTTGGATAACTCTTTATCTGGACGGTGAAAATAGTGAGTTTGCTAACTTATTGCTAGGAGAAGACAAACATGTTCCCTTTCCACATTGAAATGATAGACAAACTTTGTGTTATCAAATTACCAAAAAAATAAAAGAAAAATAGCCCAAGAGCTGTGATGGATTTTGGGTCTAATAAAAGGAAGCCTCATATGGCTTCTAATTCAAGGCCTCTTCCCAAAAATAGAGTTAACAGACATTTGTTTTTTTAATTTAAAAGAAAAGCATGTGCATTACATTAAAGGGGAAAATTACTCTAGTGTCTAAACTATGGGGCTTTAATAATATTTTAGAAAAGTAAGAGAGTTTTGAGAAAGTCCTCCCCACCCCCCAAAAAAAAAGAAAAAAACAAAGTTTATCATTTGAAAATTAATGGTAAATTGTTGAAACCTTCTCTAAAGTTTTTGATTGTTGCTGAAATCTCCCCTAAAGTTTGGTAATTTCTAACACCTCCCCTGAAACCACCCCTAAAGTTTGACCTTCATATCAATCCCTTAAAGTAAAGCTGCAATTTTAAATTCTTTTTTTTTATAAAGTTTGTATTTTTGTATGTAGAAACTAATTCAATAGTAACTGCATGGGTATTTTAGACATTTTTATGACTCCTTTTAGAGGATTTTAACAAAGGTGTTTTACTTGCAACTGTATAAAAAGTTCAGGGGAGGTTTTAGCAACAGTCCAAAACTTAAGGTATTTACTCAAAAATTAATATAGCATCAAATGCATTCTTGTGACTCAGAGAGAAAACTTCAGGCCTAGTCTCAATCAATATGTGATTGAGCTGGAAATGCTATCCCAAGCTTCAAGTGAGAAACGCCCAAAATATACTAAACAATATTAGTAGAAACAAATGACAAGAACAAAGTGAACCTGAATCACCCTTCAAGGTAGCGAAAAGTTTCTTATTAGGGGTGCAACTTGGGCCTATAATAAAAAAATCAATGCGACAATGTTACTACGTTAGCTTGGGTAGGGTTGAAGGTTGATTTATGGCAAGGGTTGAAAAATATGAACTCACTTAACCAGGTTAAAGGTCGAAGCGTCAGGTAATTGTAAGAAAAAAAAGAGAATATGGACCAGAACCAATAATATGTTTGAAGGTAGGGGTGTCAATTGGACCAGATTTGGTCCAATCCAATCCAATCCAATACGAGTCCATTACAAATGGATCAGGTTCAATTCATCAGATAGATACTTTGAACAATTTTAGACCACTCCAATTCAATGCTTGGACCATTTAATCTGTTCAAATTGGTTTTAATTTAGATTTTTTCCAATCCAAACCATCACACCTGCATTATTATATATTGGTTAAATATTCAGGTCGAATCTAATCCAATAGATACTTTGGACCGTAAAGTTTCAACTAAGTCCAATTCAAATTGGTTCGTCCGGGGTCCAACCCAAAACCTTTACATTGACACCTCTACTTGATGGTCCAGTGGCTGAGACCTTAACTTTGGCTGGGGCTGAGGCTGATGAAGGAAGAAAGAAAGGGGAGAAAATTGGTCTGATCGATTTCTAAAGCATTGATGTTAGATGGTTTGATGGAAATAAGAAGAGAAGAGCATACCTTGGCAACCGCCGGGGAGATACGGAATATTCCCTTCGTAACCTTTGTTGTAACTGCAGCGATATCCAGGACCATTGTCTGAGTCGACGTCATAACAATAACTATTCTCTCGGCAGGCGAAGGTCGACAAGTTTCTTCGAGCTTCTTCACAGGTCTGGTTCACTATAACCCAATCAAGAACCACAGGGATATCGGTACTTCTAGCAGCGAAGCTGGTGCCTGCAGCTAGGTCGGATGCCTTGAACCTATAACGCTCTTGCTCGGCCAGATGACAAGTTGAGTGGTTGCTCATGCTGCCGGCAATTATGGCGAACCTCTGTAGGCCCTTCGGAATGGTGGTCTGACAACAACCTTCCCCTGAGCATGCCCCGTCGATCAAGTCCTCTCTTTCTTGGCAGACTGACATGCACCCGCTCGTGAAGCCTCCCTTGGACCCTCGGATTAAGCCATAGGCGTCACACTCAATGACTATGAACCTATTTGCAGTGTGTGAGATGGTGTAAGGGGTGCCCTCCAAATCGGTTCTATGAGCACCTGAGACTGGTGCTTCATCATAACAGTTGAAAGCTAGAACCTTATTTACGCGGACATGATAAAGTGATATTTCCAGGACCTCATTGTCAGTGGTGCCCAAGAAGGGTTTAGGGGGATCATAGGAAGTGTTGCAGTTGATGTGGTGTGATGGGCTAATGGAACAACCCTCTCCCATGCCGAATGGGTAGGGAATGCTTATGTTGCCACATTGGGCTTGGCATCCAAGCTTTGTCTCTGCTGATGCTGCCCAGACCAGTGTGAGGCATGAGAGATGGAGCAGGAGATGGGGCACCATGGTTTTCTCTCCTTGCTGGTGTTTTGTTTGGGTTCACAAGTCTCCACCCAAAAAGAGCTCAAATTTAAAAGTGGGTGGGTGGGTGGGTAGTTTGACTTTCCCAGAGGAAGTACTTTTTCAGTTTAGAGTTTAGACTCAAGTGAATGAGGGCTCCCCATCAAACATGTATCCTAAAATATTCTCATTTGGCTCTTCCAGGAAAGACAGGCTTCAGAAATATTTTCATAACTTGGCATACCCTAAAATGTTGAAAAGGACAGTTAGATCAAGCATGATTTAGCTGGGGATGGTCTATGCTCTAGACTAGTCGTTTAATTCCTCCATTTCATTGAAAATTAATCAGAAGATGAGTTCTTGGATTACATTGAATGTCAAACAAGGATTGTTTCATTGGTTATTTTAGAAAATCAAGTCATCAACTTGATAGAGTTGCTTATTGACATTATTTTTCCGGTTTTCCCCATTGTCCATCTCATATATAATTGATTCTCTCTCAAACTGTTCTTTGCAGTGTAAATCTGAACCGGATACAAATTTGCTTCTATTTATTAGTAACTATGATTTACACTCCTACAATGTCTACCTGATACAAAATTTGTACCGTTTTTTTTGGTCTCATTTACATTCTTTGACAGTGCAAATTTTGTATCCCAAATGTTGATGTAAAATTTTTACCACCTTCCCAGTATCTGATCAATAACCTTTTTCCTACCTTCATTTTCTATATATAAAGTCGGAATCGCTTCATTTTACTTCTCACTAACAATTAGTAAGATACAGTCAAATTGTAAGCAAAATTAAACCAGAATTTGCAGTCATCCTTTTTCCACTGCCATGCATTCACATTATCAATGCAAATGAAATCTGCACTGCAAACAAGCTGTGCCTTGAGGGGAAAAAAGGTTGAAAAAATTGTGGTACCTGAACCGCCGCCTTAGGTATTGGTTGTGGCTAAACCGGTGGTTGCTTGACCGCCGGCTTAGATCTTTTTTTTTTCATTTTTATTTATACCAGGTTGATAGCTAAGCCGGCGGACATGACCGCCGGCATAAACCATATACCCACTTAATTGCAGCATTTTTGTGGTACCTGAATTGCTTATTGATTTAGCATTTTCATATATGTTTAATACAGCAAAACCATTTGATAAAAATCAATTTAAAATGAAATCTATTAATTCAAAGATTATATATTAAAATATCCAAAAGACATTGTTCAAATACAATAGCTAATTGACATATAAATAGTACAAGAACTTAAAAAATAATCAAATTCTCTAATAATGCAGCACATCTTCCAATGCAAATCCACTTATCATATTGATTGAACCTGCAAATCAAAACATATTAATATTAGAATGATAGTCAAGTATTTTAACTATAAAGATAGGAATAGTATAATCTTCCCCCAGCTCTTTTCAGCCATGTAAGAAGGGCTGGGGAATAGTATAATCTTGGATATTTCTTCAAACTACATGTAATGTAAGAAGGGCAAACAACATCAAAGGTGGGCAGATTCAGTCCTCGTAAAACTGTGTTCACACCGTTCTCACAGCCCTTTTCAGCCATGCATTGGGAACATCTCCATATTTTTATCTTTTTATTTATGGGGAGATATTTCTAATACACAGATGAAAATGGTTGTAAGAACGAGTGTGAGCACACTTTTGTGAGCACCAAATCCAATTTCACATCAAAGATGGACTCAAAGCATTTGGGTCACTGGACTAGCTTCTTATGACCCTTAGTTTTGTTTAGTTGTGGCATGAAGTAGGTGGTTGGCCACCTGGAGTTAAAATCAGTGTTTTGAGCATAGGATTTTATCTGTAAAGCACTAGCCAGCAAATCCCAGTGAATCCCAACCGGCGGTTTGTCTCTGACGGTCATGTCCAATCCTTTATCAACCTATTAGAATGATATGTTGGACCTTTATGGACCTTCTCTTGTAAATACTTTATCAACCCGCTATGTTCTTTCTCTTCCCTCTTCTTCTTTATTCTTTTTTTCTTTATTATCTGTGTACCATATACAGATTTTGCACAGTTAGAGAGCCTAAGTCATTGAGCATAGCCTCTCATTGATCTTTGCACAATTACAGGTTCATAACACAACATTGAAAATAAAATAACACTTGTATGATCTTTCATCTAAAAAATCTATTGGAATTGATATTTTCATTTAATTTACTGTAAAGTTATAAAAATGAACGAAAATTTACATAGAAAATTAGGAGCCAAAACCTGCGAGTCACATCTTTGGCCCCATGCCCAGCAAAAGCAACTACATATCTCAGAGACCTTATGCAGGCAGTTACTGCAGCTTCTACTTTGTGCTCACTATCAAGAAGTGCATTGGTAGAACCAATATGCACCCACTTCCCTGTCAAGTTTTCTCCATTACAATAGACTTCTGCCCAATGCAGTGGAGGTCCTACTTTTCTTGACCCAAGTGCAGTAGAGACTCCTTGGGAAGAAACTATGGGATCTTCAATTTTAATTCTTTTCATCCTTCTCAATGAAAGAAAACCTGATGTAGTATGCAGCTCTTTTAAATCTGGGGCGGCATCACTCTCACAAATACCTTCTACAGTGGCAGAAAGAGCCATTTCCGATTGTAGCTCAAACTCTAGATCGCCTTTCCTCTTTGAGCCTTCAGCTTTTTTGGTAGGACATGATTCAATATTATCATTGCTTGCCTTTGAATCTAAAAATCCAGTTATGTCATTCAACTAGTCAGGAAGGGAAATATCACTAGATCCATTGGTCTTGCATGTTTAGTTTCTTTCTGTGATTTCACATTTACCTTTATGAGAAGATTCATGGGAAATCCCTCCTTTGGGCATTGTTGTGTCTAATGATAACTGAATGGGAGAGCGAGACACTGCAGCCTGATTCATCCTGGAAACCATCAATGTGGAAGAATTAAAAATCCCCATCTCCTTCCTAGTTGCATCTTGGTTTGAACAGCCAGGCATGTCAGCTTCTAGTTTGAGAGAGGCCACATCCAGCACAGGCAGGAACCTGAAATATATTCACAATTGCAATTGTTGTACTTTTTTTTTGCTAAATTACAATATGTACTTCAGATTACCTTTATTTATAAGTTAAAAAGAAAGTCGGCAGACAATATTCTAGATTCCCAAGTTCTTATTACTATTAAGCATAGTATTCAGGTATCACACACATATTGACATTTTTTAACAAAGCAAACCAAATTTTGAACTTTTTTAAAAACACAAAAAGAATACATGGATTATTCAGGAAACTATAATAATACAGATTTGCAGAGTTAGGGAGACTCTTTGGTATCACTTCAAATTTTCAGGTTGAATCAGTGCTTCCCAGAAAACTACATCTTCTCTTTTTGGTCCAGCATTAAAGGGGCTCAGCAAATGCAGTAGCATCTTATAGCCTATGCTGCCTTTTGTGATTATATGGACGATGTGGTTGGGGTGGAACTGACATACTTTTGAACACAAATTGGTTTGAATCCCTCTATCATAGCTCAGCATCCTGTACACACTAACATCACTAGCTGGTTTACATGGTTGAGTACAACTCTGGGAAAACAACAAGCTATGATAAGTCTCAACAGATTTGCCTTGATAATCTATCATATGTGGGAAGCAAGGAATAAGAAACTATTTGAGAATATCAACCCAGATCCTATGCAAGTGATTAAACTAGCACTAAAATTCCAGCTGGAGTACCCAACAAATAGGACCATGCCACTTCATCATCAACCATTACCTCCAAACAATATTCCCTCTTTATTTACTGATGACTCTTTTGATCCAAATTCAGGTGCTGCAGGACGAGGGTTCATCCTCCAACATTTCAGTGAAAGATACACCATTGCAGAAAGTGGGCTTTCATGGGTTCTCACAAGCTATGATGCTGAAACTTGAGCCTTGTTAAGAGGATTACAAGTGGCTCTTTCTAATGGCATCACACATTTTTGGTACATACAGATAATGCTGCCTTAGCAGAATTTGCGAATTCAGATCGAGTAACCCACTGGATTGAACTGCTACACAGAAGTCATTTGATATGACTAATATCCTCTTTTGATTTATATATTTTGTACATATTGATATGACTAATATCCTCTTTTGATTATATATATTTTGTACATATTTTAAGACAACATAACCAGGCAGCCCATCTTTTTGTAAGGGGCAAATATAATCCCCTCATGTAACCTTTTCTATATGAATATATCCTTTTCATTTTTGCTTTAAAAAAAACAAAATCTCATGGGCAATTTTTAAAAGGGCTCTCTACGCAAAACAGTTCAATACAGAGAGTATTTTAATTGCCTCTGACTCTACGCGGGTGCTTGGAGCGCTTCAAGAGAAAGCTTCTATCCACTGGTCTTACCGATGGCTTTTGCAGAAGACCAGCCTTCTGCTAAAATCTTTTAGGCCTTGCAAAAGAGAAAGCACTTTAATCTTAAGATTCTACTCATTGAAGCTTTTGTCAAAAAATGACCAAAGTTTTGAATTGATGTTTTCTATACAAAATTGATCTGAACCATCATTTCAAATTTGATTAAGCTATAAGCCATCTATGAAACTTTAGTAGGTTGAGCTATATATCCAAATTGATTACGAATCATTATTTCAAATTTCTAAGGCGCGTATGTTCCTTAACCTACTTCCAAATTTGATTAACCTACTTGTTTACACATATTCCTCCATAGAAAAACAGAGCAGAATATTTAGAATTAAAATAGATGAAATGAGATATATTAGGAAGGACATGAAAACAAGGTTTATCTTCTATATCATTCCACGAAGGATATTTTTCCAACCATTAATTCCACTTTATGGGCATGTAATCAAGTCATATGTCAGCTTGAACATAAAATTTCCAGGTTTAATACAATTCTTGGTCCGTATCCTTCACTATAGTGCTCGAAGCCTCAAAGGGATGCTTGTGACTTTCATTGAATGAGCCAAAATATTTTCATGAAAACATAAGTAAAAAATAGGGTAAATTGTTGAAACCTCCCTTGGAGTTTGATAATTGCAATCACCTCTCTTGAACTTTTTGACATGGTTGTCGGTAGATTCCCTCTAAAAAAGAGCATGAAAATGTCCACAATACCCATGTAATTACTTTTAACAAAAATGTTTATTTTCCAAATTTTCTCTTCATATGAATCACTACCCCAAACCTTTTCAATCTCTTTTCTAAAATTGATTTATTGCCCTTCATATCAATCACTCAAAGGTAAAGCTGTGACTTTAAATTTTCTTTGTTTTGGTGTTCATAAGATTTTGTATTTTTTTCCCACAAGACCAGATTCAATAGTAGTTACATGGGTATTTTGGACATTTTATGCATTTTTTAAGAAGATTCTACTGGAGATGATCTACTTGCAACTGTATTAGAAAGTTCAAGGGAGGTGATTGCAATTATTAAACTTTATGGAAGGTTTCATCAATTTGCCCCAAAAATTATGCATATAAAAGAAAGTTTAAAACTGGAGAAGCATTAAACTTACCATATATGGATAGCTAGAGAGGAAAAATAAAAGATTGATTAAGGGAGTTACCAATGAAGTAAAGGCTCAACTGAACTGAATGACCTATTAATTTATCCTTGGTTTGGAAAGAAAACAAATACAAATATATAAAGTGCAAAATCTTGTATTTTGTATTATTTTGTATGCGTTTTTACAGTATTTGTAATCTTTTCAAACTGAACCTAAGGCTGAGTTTGGAAGGAGTACAAATGCAAATATGTAGAGTGCAAAACCTTATATTTTGTATTATTTTGTATGCATTTACACTGTATATATTTGCATTTATACTACTTCCAAGCTGAGTCTAAGGAAGTTGTGGGTTTCTGTTTTTACAAAAAAGATAAAAGTAAATGAGTCTTTCATTCAGATCAAGTAATTCAATCATTATTAAATGGGTCCTAGATTTGAAAGTCTCTCGACCTAATTGATTGCATGCAATGATTGAAAACAAACTAGTGATTCAAATACCAAAATGGTACAAACTTTTTCATTTAGCCTGTGTTTGGTTGCAATGCAAATAAATTTGTATTGATGCAAAACTATGACGGTGCAAATGATTTGAATGTAAATTCTGATCTATTTTCGTTTCAAACTTTAGCGTATTTTGTTTGACTGCAATACAAATGAAGTAAATTAAGACATAAAACAAAATAAAGTAAAATCCAAAACAAAATTAAACAAGAATTTGTATTTTTTTTTCATTTGCATTCTCATGCATTTGTACTCGTGCAAATAAAATTGCACTGCCACCAAACACAGACTTAAGCTCAGTTTGAAAAGACTATAAATACAAATACGTATATACAAATACATACAAAATAACACAAAATGCAAGATTTTGCACTCTACATATTTGTATTTGTACTCCTTCCAAATTGAGTCTTAGGCTGTGTTTGGTTGCAGTGCAAATTTATTTGCACTTGTACAAATGCATAAGAGTGCAAATGAAGAAAATGCAAATTCCCATTTAATTTTGTTTTAGATTTTAATTTACTTAATTTTCACTACAATCAAACAAAATAAATTATATTCCAAACAAAAACAGTTCAGAATTTACAATCAAACCATTTGCACTGCCATAGTTTTGCATCAGTGCAAAATTATTTGCATTGCAACTAAGCACAGCATTAAGGTAAATGACAAGAGAATTAATTAAAACTTACATTATATTAATCAAGGTTGTCAACAGGTCAGATTTGGTACTGGTTTGCCTTCACCTTAATCTAAGCCCTCTGGTGCTTCCACCCACACTTAACCCAGCTTGACTTAACATGGAATTTCTGAACCTACCCCAACCTTTTAAGTTTTAGTCCAATACCAACCTCAATTGACCAGAAGTCTTTCAATTATATTTTATAACACATTCTAAAAGCCCAAGAGAAATTGATTTAAGTTAGAATTTAATTATGGGTTCCAATGTGTCATTGAACTGATAATACCTATTTTTGAAAAACCGGTAACTAAAATTAAATCGAAGCTAATTGATTAATAGGTTAATCAGTTCAGTTAATTATCAGTTTTTTGGTTTTTTTATTTTTGTAATATATTATAAATAAAGGTTAACCACTCGTTTTTATATTGGTTAATTGAATCGAACCAATCAATTCGGTTCGGTTTTTCGATTTTTCATGATCCAACCAGCGACCGCTTTATCAACTTCCAAGTGTTGGATTGAATATGGATGATGGATCCACCCTATCCAATCAGATATAATACGATTAAATCCATATTCGAAACCGATGTGTGTTAGTAAAAGAATGTTACAACAGTTTTTACTTTTAACCCTATTTTATATCGGATCGCATTCCAAATTCGATTCGAATCCAAATGGAAACGTATCAAATATGGATTTACCTTGCATCCGATCCGTTCGCAGCTTGCGCTAAGTCGGTAACGAAATTCCCGAAAGGGAATGGAGTCAGAAGAGGCGGTTACATCGTTTAATCTCAGTCGTCCATCTAATTTCCTCGTGCCTATAAATAGTTATCCCCTTCTAATTGCGTCCGCGTGCAGCTCAAGCGGGCTCCGCTTCTTCCCCATCTCTCCCGGTTTTTGGTCGGTGGCTATTACTGCTCTTCCATAATGTCCTGGAGTTCTATGAGCCTTTCCTTTCCTCTCGAGTTTTGGCGATTATTATCTTGATCATGCAGGATTTTGTCAGGCTTTTGAATTTCTCAGTTAATTTGACCCATCGTGGTTGCACGGAGTGCTATTTTGAGTTGGTTTGATCAGTCTTTTGTTGGATTTTTGGGAATTGTTGTCTGTTCAACAACACCGTTTATTTCTTTGATTCAAGACCTGTTTGATTTCGATTTTTGGATTATCTATTGGCAGTGATATGATTATTGTCCTGCAGATGTGCTTATTTGGTGAATTGTTTTAGAGGGTCCTGAGATGGATGGGTTTGCATTAGACTTGAGTTGGATTCTTCTCTGATTTAGCGATCTTTAAATTTGTATTGAGGATTAGTTTTGATTCTCTCTGATTTAGCGGTTTTTAAATCGGCGTTGAATCTTTGTGGTGGTTTTCTTGTTCATCAGGTAGATTGAGTATTCCTTGGCTGCATATATTGGGTGATGGATCATCTATTTGACGAAGAATAAGTTCTCCTCATCTCTTAGCCTTTTCTGTTCCTGAATTTCTCAAGTGTTCTTTTTTTATACGGATACATACGTGCAAGTTTGTCATGAATTTACAGGATTCAGAAGGTCAATTTGAACTGGACATGTCTATTTAGATGCCTATTTCATAAGGGGGTGTTTCTCGGCTATACAAGTTCATATTTAAGTTTATAAGCATGATGATAATTCAGAAGTTCTACATAGGATCCTAATCCAGTTATCATTCTTTTCTAGGGCGATGTGAATTGGGTACCGGGATTGTTGAGGTTTGAAGATTTTGTTACACCACTTCCTTTTTTTTAATTAGTGGATTTAACTGTAAGCAATCATGCAGTCATTTATTCATGTTCGTAGTACCTTCTGCCGTAAAGTTTGTATAAGCTAAATTTTGATCCTACAGATGGGCATGCTATTCTTTTTTCATTCACTTTAGTTAAACTTTTATGATTTCAGTTCATTTGGTGGGAGGTTGAATCGGAGGTTGTATTTCCTGTGCAATACAGTGGGGATATGAGCAAAGCCTTTGTTGTGGATGTTCTCTTTGGTTTCTCACAAAAGAATTTCTGTGACCGATCAAAAAAAATTATGTGCTTACCAATTAAAAATTTTTCTCTATTGAGGGGCTAGAATATTCTCTTTTCAATGTATTTTTGGTTTCTTATGCTTGGGTTGTTTGTGACTTTTTATAAAGAAAAAAGGATTGACAACCCAAATAATAACAAATTTATGCATTTGATGAGGTTTCATAAGAACAACTATGTAATGTTAAGAGCTTTAAGGAGCATGCGAAGTGCTTTGGGTCTGTGATTTTCAGATCTTGTGGTTGTGAGGAGCTTTTGTCATCCAGATTTTTATTTTCTGAAGCCTTTGTAATTGGCATTAATTTTTTATTAAAAGATAGAATATATATTGAGGAAGATAATTGGATTGGGTTTATATTATTGAATCTAATTGGATATCAGTTTGATGTCCTAACCATTTGATTTTTTTTTTCTTTGTTGTTTAAGACAGGCCTGTCCCTGTAATAGAACTTCTAGTTTTCATCTATACTTTCCACCTTTTATCCTCTTCATATCTGATGGATCATTTTGTACATTGAATGGGTTATGGTGAAGTCTGTCTTGAACATTCAGGACTTGGATTGACAGTTCTTTTTTAGTGAAATTTAACAAGGTTTTATGTGGAATACCATAGAATCCTAGTTAATGAGAAAGTGTCATAACTCATTGTGAATGGTCTTGGTTGGCTTTCAGTTGCTGTTCCCATCCCTTATTCGAGGAACTATTTTTGGTGTTCTCACTGTTGGAGACTTTGAATTGCAACTTAATCTTACAATAAATCAATTGGCTAGAGGCCTATGAAAATGCGTTTTTTTGTGACATCAGAAGTTTTAATATGCAATGTTTGTGATCTTCATGTAATAATGAAGAGTATACAGATGATTGCTATTGCAGAAGAAAGCTTTCATGGCTATACAGATCTCTAATTGGTATGAGGATCTTTCAGTGGTTATTTGATTCATCAAATTTTCAGGGCTATTCATAAGAGGGTTTTCGTGGCTATACAGATAATGACTATTGCACAAGAGGGTTTTCATAGCTTATACAGATAATGACTATTTGCAAAAGAGGGTTTTCGTGGCTTATACATATAATGATTATAGCTAAAGATGACTTTTGTGGATATACGGATAACGGCCATGAAAGAGGAGGGTTTTCATGGCTGTATATATCTCTTACTAAATTGGCAACATGACTTTGGGTCCTTCCACTGTGCAGAAAGCTTCTTGATGCCAAGTGTAAGTTCTTGGTAGTTGTTGCATCTTAGTTCTGTTTTCTTTGGATTAAATGGTTCTGATGGAGAGATTCTTTCAAGATGTTGAAACTTGTTAGTACTTATGGTTTATGAGTTATGTGGAAGATTTTAGCTTTTATTGGTACATTATAATTTGTGGTTCCAATCTATTGTGTAGAGGCTTTAGTTCTAGTTTGGCTTTTCCAGCCTTTCTCCTCTTCCATTCGCCTTTAGAAATTGGTACATGTATTAGGTAGATTATAATTTCCATTATCTTGTTATTCATGGGCTTTTTTAAGTTCCTGCAATGTTCATGTGTTGCTGGATTGTGATTGCATTAGGACTCAGTCAGCCTATGGCATATCTTAGGTGATTTGATCCATTTTGGTTCATGAATCTGCTGCCTTGCTTGTATTTGATTTGATCTGTCATTTTGTGGTTTTGACAACTTGTTTTTTTTGTTATCTTCTTTGGAAGATTGACTCAAGAGATTCCTGGTTTTTATTTGGACGAGAGATGGAATGGTATCTGTTCTAAAACTCATGAGTGTGGGTTCTTCTTTTATTATGTACAATTCATGAGCTTTTAGTCCTAGTTTTATTCTTCTTAGGCAGTGCTTTGGATAATCATTTTGGTTTTGTTGTTCTGCAGCGATATTGGGAATTTCTCTATTTATGCTTTGGTCTATCTTACAAATATTGATCAAGAGATCCTGTTATTAGAAAATATCTGTGCTCAAAATGAGTTTATCATTTTTCCCCGTATGTTCTCCTTGGCCCTTCAATTTCCTGATGACTGGTTCCATGGGAATGTTTATGTTGTGGGCTTTTTTTTGATAGTAAAATAAGATTGATTAAAAGAAAAAGGAAAGAACAAGATAAGGTGACAAGAATCGCCCAAAAGAGAGAGTAAAACCACTCAATAACAAAGACTCACCTCTACCCGTACTAATAAAATATCCAATACACCCACAATCTTCAACAACCTTATCTACCCTCAATCTTCAACTCCAACCTTTCACTCACCTGACATACAATGGCTTCCCAAAATCATTAACCCCTATCCATCTCTCATACAACTAAGACACCCTACTGATGAAAACTAGACTCCATGTTGGTTCCACTCGTATTTGTGTCCACTAGCTGTCCTGCTTTATTGGATAAATTAGAATCCAACACAATTCTTCTCTTATTAAGATTCTTATGTTGTGGTGGATTATAAAGCCATTTGAAATTTGACATGAGAGATTGGAGTTCCCATCACATCTCACCACTCGTTTTGTGCTGATTCTCATTTAATAAATTAACATCAAATTATTGAATAGCCATGTTTGGTCCTTCGGGAAAGTGCAAGTTCCATTAAATTGAGTTTTTCCATTCTCATACGATTCTCACTTGGTTTATCATATAGTTCTCCTAATTACTACTTTACATACTCATGGTATTGAAGTGATGAAAGGTGACTTGCCTTGAAGGACAAGTAAACAAGAAGTAAAAGTCATCCATACTTCGGATATCTTTAGAGTATGTTTATTCTGACCAAGTTTTAACTGAAAAAGAACCTACTTCCATGATATAAAAACTAGCCTTTCTACTAGAGTTGTAAACAGATGATGGAGAATTGTAATTGGATGTATAAAAATGTGGAAACATGTTTCTCTCATGACATGAAGGTTGATTTCTGTTGCACATAGGAATATGGATATCTTCACCTTGGCATCCCTAGCTCTATTAGTTATATTTTAACCAAGATGAACTAAATTAATTTGGAAAGTATTTTTCAATGGTGTGTCTTTGAACTTTTGGCAATGTGCTAATCCGATGTGTTATATAAGAACTATGCTTTGCAAGTATATCGTGTTGTTTTAGGTGAATTACCTTGTTCTTGTCAGTATAAAAAGGCCATTACTCAATTTTTCTCCTGACTATTTGCGGTTTTGATAAGGATGGACTGAATGCAGACCTAAGCTATTGAATTTTGGTATGAAGTGGCTCCTCCTGGACTGAAACCTGTATTCTCATGATTTGTTAGACCAAGAATTTACTATCACGATTCGTAATTCTCATCTGGGACAATGTAGTCATTATAGTATATAAAATGGGGAAAAATAGTCATGGAAAAGCTCTAGATGGACATGTTATCGGAGGAGAAGTCTTGCTGCGCTCTGTCCTGATTTCAAATGCAATGCAAGATTAACATTGTCATTTCACTCTGTCCAATTTCAAGGAAAGTTATTGTATTGGATGAAAAATGATGCCGTTATTAAGCAAGTGCATTGCTTGATCAACTTAGTCATTCTTCCGCAGTTTGTTCACTTACAAGCAGTCTCATCATCTAATCTCAATCACAACAGTCAAAGTGCTTAAATCCTAGAAGGCAATGACTTTGAACTCCCTTATTGTGGGTTGCATTTGTCTTCAGTTAATTTTGGGAATCTCTTTTGATCAGGATTATTAGTTATTTGCATATGATTGCATCACAATAAGGACCTTTACTCCATCCATTTTTATTGACCGCTGAAGGGTTATTGTTTTATAGATGATATGGTGAGTTGGTACATGGGTATTGAGAGTGCTGATATGAATAAATTCTTTTCGTTATATTGTATCATCATCAAGACATGTTCTATTTATGTTTTGATAGGCAGTGGAATGATTATTGCTCTGCACATTTGTGGAGTTGCATGGTTTCTGAGGATTCTCCGATATAGTAGACTTTTAGTTCGTGTATTCTTCTTCCATTCATCAAATCTTCATGGCCACACAGAAGAGGGTTTTCATGGCTATATAGATAATGATATTGCAAAGAGGATTTTTGTGGGTACAGAGAAGTGGGTTTTCATTGCTATACAGATCTTTAACTAAATTGGTATTATGACCTTTGGGTGATTCTTCCGTTCATCAATTTTTCCAGTCGGTAGTCCTTTCTGCCGATGTTTTGCACCAAAAGTCTCTATATAGATAATGACTATTATGGACGAGGGTTTTTGTGGCTACACAGATAATGAATATTGCGGAAGAGGGTTTTCATGGTATTACAGATTGTTTTGCGTTGGTAGGGAATTTAAAAACAACGGGCAGACGATTATTTAATCCATGCCTCTCAAGTGTGTTATTTCATTTTTGAGATTGGTTGGAAGTTGGGTTTTATTTGACATTTGTGCTGGAAGTCTCTATACAGATAATGACTATTGCAGAAGAGGGTTTTCATGGTTTTACAGATTGTTTTGTGTTGGTAGAGAATTTAAATGCAATGGGCAGACATTTATTCAATCCATGCCTCTCAAGTGTGTTATTTCATTTTTGAGACTGTTTGGATATAAAAAGTTGGATTTTATTTGACATTTCTGCTTTGATAAGTCATACTACTTGAGGCAGTTTACTTGAACATACAGATTCTAGCATTTCTGTATTTTTTTGTATTATCGACTATAATTCTTTTATAGGATATCAGTATGTTGTTTAATTGTTTTATAGGAAAGTGCAAAAGTCTTCCATTTGCTTGGATTTGATTTGATATGTCATTTGGTGGTTTTGAAAATTTGCCTAATTATTATTTTTTTGTCTTAGATTGAATCAAGACATGTTGGTTTTAATTTTGACATGAGATAGACTGGTTCTAAAACTGATGATGTCGAGGCTGGTTTCCCAAGGTCCTGATTGTGGGGGACTTCCATGCCTATGAGTATTGATTCTTCTCTTAGTATATACAATTCATGAGTCAGCATTTGGTCCTAGTTATGGTATCATTTTATTGGTCAGTTTTGTATCAGCTTTGAATAACTGTTTTGGTTTCGTTGTTCTACAGGGATATTTGGGAATTTCTATTTTTATGCTTTAATCTTTTTTGGCATGAGGTGGCTGCTCACAGACGTGAAACATGCATTCTCATGCTTGTCAGCCCAAGGTTTTACTATCATGATTGGTAATTCTCATCAAGGACCATGTAGTTTTGATAGGATATAAAGTAGTCAAAGTGGTCAAATAGTCATGGAAAAGCTATAATTCCACATGTTATCAGAGAAGTGTTGCAGCCCTCTGTCATATTTGCATGCTGTCCAATTGCAATGGAAGTTCTTGTATGTGATGAAATATGATGTGGCTGTCTGCAATTGCACCACTTAATCAACCTAGTCATCCTTCCACATTCACTTACAGTCAGTCTCACTATCTGATCTCTATAGTCCAATGCATATAAATCCTAGATGACAATGGTCCACAGCTCCTATATTGTGGATTTCACTTGTCTGCCTGTTCACTACTGGTTAGTCTCACAATCTTATCTCAACAGTCCAATGCATCAAAATCCTAGAAGACAGTGCTTTTCAGAACCTCTATTGTGGGTTTCACGTGTCTTTGGTTGATTTTTGAAGTTTCATTTTTTCATGACCACCGGTAATTTGCCATTATATTGCATCAGAATCAGAACTACTCTTTCCATTTTCATTGGCAGTGGAATAGTTATTGTTCTTCAGATTCGGTGAGTTGGTTCATGATTATTGAGAGTGTTGATATAGATGAATCATTTTTTTTTTTGCCTTAACTTTCGGTTAGGATTCTTTTCTCATTTGACATTAAGTTAGTTTTGATATTTACTTTTGATTTCACTCGGATTGAGCAGTTTTAACATCAGTGTTGGATTTTTGAGTTGGCTTGCTTGTTATTGACTGAGATTTTTGGATGAATTTTCTGGTTTACATAGACAAATTACAGGTTCTTGTATTGCTATTTGGGATTCAAAGGGTTGATTTGAACTTGACATGGCTTATATATGCCTAATTCAAAAGGTGGTTCTCATGGCTGTTCAGATTCCTATTTAAATTTTATGCATGATGATTGAGAACTACATACATCTAAATCCATTAGTTGACTTTTCAGGCGGACTGGGTTTTTTTTCTGGGCACAAGACATTTCAGGTTTGTTGGTGGTTTTGGAGTATTTTTTTCCAATTAAAGTGGATTTAATTTGAAGCAATCACAGTCATTGCAGTAAATTGGGTGGTAAGGATTGGATATTATCTGAGTGTCTGCTTGTCTGAGACCTCTAGTTATATCTTTGGTTTATTCCTGAACTTATTCAGGGTAATTTAATTATTGTGGCATATAAAGTTAGACCAAAGTAATCATAGAATATCTCCTCTAGATGCATACTTTATTGGAGGAAATATCTTGTATCAGCTCTATCCTGACAGCCACTTTGAAGCAACTTAAGCCTCATAATTGCATATTGTCCAGGTACAATAGAAGTTCTTATATGGAATGAAAAGTGACGTGGCTATCTAATATCAGTTGTCCATCCATTCATCCTCTGCCTATTCACTTGCCAGTCAGTTTCACTACCTATTCTCAATATTCCAAGTGCAACAAAATTCTAGGAAAGCAATGGCTTGCAACCCTTTTACTGTGGGTTTGATCCGTCTTTTGTTAGTTTCGAACTCAAGAGAGGTTCTTGTTCCTTTTTGATTGGCAGCAGAAAATTATTATTGCTCTACATATACAATGAGATGGTACATGGTCTTTTACTTTTGAGAATGTTGATATTTCTTTTCTCATTTTGATTTCGAGTGTATTGATTACTGCTCTGTAGATCTGATGAGTCAGTACTTGGTTTTTGAGGGTGATGAGATATCAGTGTTTTCCCTATGTATTTAGTTTGGATTACTCTCTAGTATAATGATTTTCAAGTTAGTGTTGGGCTTGTTTTGATTTCTTCTTCTTTAGCAGCTTTTAAATCAGCATTACATCTCTGAATTGGTTTGCTTATTATTCTAGGAGATTTGTGGATACTTTTCTGTTTATCCCTTGTTCTTATTCTTATCTTCTTTTCTTTCCTGAAATTATCCACTCCTTGAACCTATCAGACAAATTTCAGGTTCTATTGTTAATTCTCTGGTTCAGAAGGTTGATATAAGCCAGATGGAGATAACTAATTCATAGGGGATTTTCATGGTGCTATTGAGTTTAGTCATGTTTTGTACATGATTGAGAAGATCTGGGTTTTTGAATCCATTTATCAAGTTGTCAGGTGGACTGGGCAAATTTGGTAGAGTGTGTTGGTTTGGTGACATTCTGAGTTGTTTTTTTTTTGTACAATTTGCCTTTTGCTAATTTTAGCAGATTTAAGTTCCACCAATCTATTACCTATAAAACTATTTTATTTTTTGCTTATTAAAAAAAATCCTCGTGGTACTGACTTTGTTTGTCTGGGTTTGATCTCTCTTTTGTTTTTGCATTAGATTGTATCAGAATCAAGATCTACTCTCTTCCCATCTGAGGGTGCTCAGATGGTTGGGTTTGCATTAGACTTCTCTTTGGATTCTTATCTGATTTAAAGAAATTTTAATCAGTTTTCGATGTCACTTCCTGAATTTATTAATGCTTTATTCTTTTATGTGGGGATTGTACATTTTCAGGATTCCTACGTTGATTTAAACTATAGATGGATATAATGAACAAGTGAGTTCTTGTGGCCATTCATATTCCTATTTAAGTCCTGTGTGATTGGGTGTCACATTGTTTTTAAACTTGCATGGAGCTTGCTATCTTGTATCAAATATTCATGAAAAATGATATAAGAGGTTGAATAAAAAAGGAAGTGTTCTTATCTTATTTCCTTATTCCCATATGAATTGGCTTGTCTTTATTCTTGGTGTGGCAATTATTTTGATTGGTAACTGTCTTCTTTAATATATTCCTAATGTTACATACAAAGATGTCCCCATGGAAGGTTGCCTCAGCAAGCAACCCAAATATATCTTTTGTATTGACTAAAACTAGAAGCTAGATTCCCCATTAGTCAACCCCCAATACAATCGAGTCTATTTTTTCACCCCTTGTTTGTGGCTAATGCATCTGCTGAACTGGTTTCCTTTCTTGGTGTAGAATTGGACACCATTATGTGGCCTATACATACGAAACAAGGGAATGGATATGAGGGGACGGAAATAGTAAATATACAGGTGGGTTAGTCGCAAAGGAAATAAAAAAAAATGTTGAAAGAGCAATCCTTATTCTGGTCACAATTTACATGTTAGAGAGGAGTGATGCTTTATTCCTCCATTAATAGAATAGAGATCCACTCCCTTGTTTCTTATAGGCTTCATGTTCTACATAAAGAATTTATGGTTTCTTTATGTACTTTAGGAAGAAAATCAGCAAATAAAGTAAGAAGTGAGAGAAGAGAAGCCAAGGATAAAGATGCAACGTTTGAGGGAGAAAAGAAGGATATATGCACAGACTACTGTAATGGAGAAAAAGGCATAAAGGCCAATAAAATAAAGCAAAAACAAGTCTGTTAACAACCCTTCTTAGGTACACTGTACGCCATGTGTAACAATTCAATACTCTGCTTTTGCACTATAAAATTGAATAGTTAATTGTTTCTTGCTTTTCTACTAGATATGAACCTCTCCTGTCATCAATTAAACCAGCTTAATCTACTTCTTTTGTTGAGTTGTGCCTTGAATTCCAGTTTGCAGCTTGCTCCATGATTCAACCCAAAGCTTGTGGGGAATTTTCATTAAGGTCTGTGGTAGATTCCAATCCGCTTTGTATGTGGGTCCTATATATTATGTAGTTTTTTGTTTTTTGGCAGTGGATTTACTTTGCATCTGCCACACTGAGATTTTTGGGTTTGAGATGTTATTCAACTCTGTACTCCAACTTTTATCTAGTGGATTTGTACCTTCTCCGTGGACGTATGCCAAAGGCCGAACCACGTAAACTTGTGTGTTGTGTTATATATATCTTCTCATCATCTTGTTTTTGCTTTGTTTTGTGCCATCACGAATCATCATACATGTTGTCACGCTCATTTAATGCAAGCCGGACCACCCCTTGAGAAGCTTTTGTAAAATGCTTAATTAATTAGCAACACAATAGAGATTTTGTTCTGCTCCGTTTGCGGTGTAAATCTAATATGGATACAAATTTTGCACTTGATTCAGCATTTGTTCATAACTGGATCTAATATCAATAAGGGCAACTTATTGATTCAGCATTTGTTCTAAGGGCAACTTTTTGTTTTGAATATGAATAAAAAGTAATATTTTTACAAAATAACTATAGTAAGATTTTTTTTCAGAAAAATATAAAAAAAGGGCAGGAATACTGTTCGTCATCTTCTCTGCCTCTGTATTCATGCGAAGAAATGTCTGTGATGGTTCCACTCTACTTTTCCATGTTGGTGGCGTATGGTTCGGTGAAGTGGTGGAAGATATTTACACCGGAGGAATGCTCCGGCATCAATCGGTTCGTTGTCATGTTTGCTGTTCCGGTGCTATCATTCCACTTCATATCTCACAACAACCCATAACAGATGGGCACCAAGTTCATACTGGCCGATACTGTTTCTAAGATCTTGGTGCTTGTTTTGCTCTCCCTCTAGGCCAGGAGGATTAGATTGCTTAATCACTCTCTACGTACCAAGTCAGAAGTTCGGCCACATTCAGTAAACACTCCAGCCCCACCTCGCGAGTTCAACCATAGCAACAATGAGCTTTCTGCAATGCCGATTTGGCTTTCGGCTACCGGTCGGCAGCCAGCTCCCGGCTATCCGGGTATGCCGCATCATCCGACGCCTACTCCCTCTAGCCAACGCCACGCACATCGAATTTCAATGTATTGGATACAACGATGGTGACAACATTAAATACACCGACGTGGATCAGATCTCCCGCAGTTGGGAGGGTTTTCCGGCAGACGTCACCAGCATTCTCCGGCATGAAAATGGTGTGGGAGTCACTGGGGAAGGGTCAAGTTCGGGGGGACAAACAAGGGTGCAAAGATGTTGAACTCTGAGGTACGCGGTAGAGTAGGCAGGTCTGCTCTGTCGTATGAATAGAGAGGCAGCTCAGCTCCGATCAACACCATCAACTCGGCTGCGCTACAAGCCTACAACTACACTATGACGCCACCCTGTCGGCCAGACCCACCTTCCGGCGGCCTAACTCGTTCATCGGCATCTTCTGCATCAGATGTTGGGCGGTCCAGCAATGAATGCCGGCAAGTAGGGCACGACGAGTGTGACACCAGCCATGTGTCTATGCACTTGACATGGAACCCATGGCTGCATTTCGGCAAGATGATATCTTATCACCGATCCATACACTGCTACCGGAATCTGGCGCAATGCTTTCTTCTTAAGCCCAATTGCAGCTAAACGTGCAACTCGGCAAAAGAATTGGGGTTTGAGGATAGTTTCCTTTATTACGAACCGATTGATGCCGGAGCTTTGCTCCGGTGTAAATATCTTCCACCACTTCACCAAACCATATGCAGTGGAACCATCGCACACATTTTTTCGCATGAATACAGAGGCAGAGAAGACGATGAACAGTATTTTTGTCTTTTTTTAATATTTTTCTAAAAATGTTATTTTATTTTAATTATTTTATAAAAATATTATTTTTTATTGATATTCAGGGCATTTGCATCACCTTCTCCAATTTTATTTCGGACAAACAAATAATCAGAGTTTACACACTTACATATTATGCAAGGGGAGATGTTCCTAATGCATAGAGGTATCAGGTAGTGTTTGGTGGGTAGGTGTCAATAGAGTTGTGGGTACGAGATCCAGAGTCGTCTTCCGCACTACTGATAAAAGTCCTGCCGCACAGTGCTCTAATAGAAGTATAGAACAAGTCATAACTCTTTATTAAATACGGCATTTCGTTGAGAAAGAGAAGGTAAAACAAAAAAAATTAATATAGAACTTTTGAATAAATCTGGCAGCTGGTGAAATAGGTGGAGGCTAAGGCCGTTAAAGAATTAGTTGGATGTACACCAACCACAACTTAAGTTCCAACAAGATATGCATGGCTTATAAATTATGAAAACACAATGGACCACAATGATCCAAAAGAAGACTTTCATTGATAGCACAAACTGATAAGGCAGCTGGAATTAGCAAAATTACGTAATAATAGTTTAACTTATAATTTTATGAATTATAAAATTTAATAAATAAGTAATATTGAAATAACTAAGTAGTGATATTATTAAATAGATGAATAATATTATAAATGAATAATTTTAAATATTTTAGATATTAAAAAATTAATAATTAAATCATATTTTAAATATTATTTAAAAACAAGCGAAATTGTCTAAAACTCATCATGAGTTTTCAACATTTCTCTTAAACTCATCACAATTTTTCAAAGTGTCTAAAACTCACCATGATAGCAAGTATTTATTTTTCAAGACTCACCTTTCGTTAGTGCACCATTAATACTTATCAGAGGTGTCAATGTCAATATAAAATAATAATTTTCATGACCAAATTACCTTTGGTGAGATAGAGGAAAAATGGTCTTTTTCAGTTTTTAATTTTCTTTTTTTTTTTGAATTTTTAGTGTTTTGTTATAATTTTTGTTTCTACAGTCTATAAATTTTCCTGTATTTTTTGTTATTTATTTGTAATTTCTGTATTTTTCTATAACTTTTAGTGTATTTTCTACAATTTTTATTTTCTGATTTTGTTTTTCAATTTCTATAGTTTCTATAATTTGAAAATATTTTTTTATTTTATTTGCAATTTCTTTAAATTTTTATATTTTTGTAATTTTTATTATTTTTTGTAATTTCTATGTTTTTATGTATTTTATATTTGAGAATATTTTTTGAACTTTTTCCTTTTTTCATGTCCAAAATATTAAAATGATAATATATTAACACCCGTTAATTTATTTTGCATATATTTTATATTTTTCTATGAAGGTTAAAATGGTAATATATTAACACCCGTTAATCTGTTTAACGTCAAGTTAGTGACATAATGAGTTTTAGACATTTTGAAAAGTTGTGGTGAGTTTAAGAGAAATGATGAAAACTCATGGTGAGTTTTAGAAAATTTCCCTAAAAACAAATTAGATAGATTAAATAAAGAAATTATGTAATAACCTTAAATATTTTATAAAAAACACAAAAATAATTATAATAGATTTGATAATAATAATATAATATATAAATAATTTAAATATTATTGAAATAATAAAAAATAGATTAAATAATTTAGAGGTATTGAACCATTCAAATAAAAAAAATAAGTAATAACTTTCAAAAAAAAGCTTTTAGTAGATATTAAAAAATAGAATAATAATTGCAATTATTAATGTACTAATAATAAAAACATTATTTAACTTATATCAATTAATAATGGACCACAATGAGCCAAAAGAAGAATTTCATTGATAGCACAAGCTGATAAGGCAACTGGAATTAGCAAATGTTGAATTTTATCTCATTAGAGATTAAATCCAATGGAATTTGATTGATTAATTACATGAAACAAAAACACACCTGCACATATATCTTTGAAAATAGTTTTTTTTTTTTTTTATACTAGAACCAGTTTTCAACTTGTCCCACATTGAAAAATTACTAAACATTTTGAGTTTTTAAATAGGATATTGTTTACATTCCTTATAAGAGGATAGTATGGAGGCTTGTGCGTGTGTGTGCAGCACACTGAAGTGCTTAGAGGCGCACTTTGCTCGCACTTCGTGCGCACCCACATGGCTCACGTAAACGGGCTTTGACGTTTGGTGTGAGGCTAACCGTTGATGTTTCAACGGTTACGATTTGATCAAGTGTGATTAAGAAGCATTATTTAAAGTTAATACTTAACAATCATTAACTATTAACTACCTTTTAACACTCACAAGGTTTGAAATTGTGACTGTTCAAAGAGCCTTTTCTAAATCAGCACCTTCCTCTTTTTCATGACTCTTTAGAAATTATATAAGGAGTGTGAATTAAGCAAATGAACACAAGTTTTCGAAAATCATTCTTGTCTCTCTCAGTTTGATCTACTATTGTCTCACAGAAGGTTTCTTTGAAAACTATTTAACTTTGCTAGTTGTAGATTTTTGCCCAATGCTTTGTTGTATCCTATGAATGAATTTGCCTATATCCCAACAACAAACTCAGTAAAACTAAAGTGGGGCAAATAGCATTCTAAAGATAGTGTTTTTATACACGCCTTAGAACTTCTCCTCCAAGTTTCTGTGACCCAAATTCCCAACGAAAAATACAGATTTCCCTACCAAAATGAAATCCATAATCCCTACTAAGAAGGTAACTGATTTTCCACGTCAAGCAATTCTTCCATACTCCTTTCTTGCATAGGATAATGGCGGAATTGTGGTGATGGGATGCAGAGCCCTTTGTCCTACAATACAAATCAGTATCATCCGAAATGACATATATAAGAAGTTCATGCTCACAAAAAAAAAAAAAGTGGAGATAAAAAATCTCAAAGAACAATATACTCTATAATTAAAATCCCAAGTAGCATGGGAGTCAACCTGTGTTTGGTTTGAAGGAAAAAGTGGGGGAAAGAAAGGGAAAGGTGGGGAGACCGATACAAAGTTTGTATAAGTTCCCCTACCTTTCCCTTTCTTTCTTTCCCGTCTTTTTCCTTCAAACGAAACATAGTTAAAGAGTAAGAAAGTACCCCAATTTGTGCCATCGATAAATGGTATGAACTTTTGATGTTGTATAATATCCCGAACAAATATACTTTTAACCAATAAAACAAATATATTGAAAATAAGTTGTATGAAACTTGAACCAATGGCTCTAGTATTTCAGTACATTGTCTTGGCGATTGACATTATGTAACTTCATGAAATATTCTTTTAAATATTTCTAACTCCTAACCCTTCTGATATTATGCAAGACCATTTTGTCCTTTTAGCTTAGCTTAGCTTAGCTTTTCTAAGTCAGGGGGCAAAGTGATGGAACCTATGAGCTCGAGGAGGG